TTCAGATACTAAATAATGAGATGACATTGCACGATTCCCCTATGTGTAGACACCCATAGACATCATCATTGATATAAGTGATCAAATAATTAGATGACATCGAATAATTAAGTCCTTGGGAGATGCCCACAGACATCCCCATTGATTTAAGAGAGTAAATAATGAGAGGACATTGCCCGGTTCCCCACAGGTGAGATGCCATATACCTCATCATTGATTTAAATGACTAAATCATGAGATGAACTCACATGATTCAACCCTGGGGCAATGATTATAGAATTCAACATTGATTTAAGTGACTAAATAATGAGATGAGGTCACATGATTCACCACTGGGTTGGCACCCTTAGACCTGATCATGTTTTATGACACTAAATAATGAAATGAGGTCACATGTTTCACCCCTGGGGAGATGTCGTACACCTCATCTTGATTAAACTAACTAAATAATGAGAAGACATCACATAATTTACCCTTGGGGATCCACCCATAGAAATCATCACTGATTTAGGTGACTAAATAATGAAATGAAATCACATAATTTACCCCAGGGAAGTTGCTTGTAGAAATAATCAATGATTTAAGTACCTAAATAATGAGAAGTCATTACACAATTGTCCCCTGGGAAGACAACCACTGATCAAATAATTGATATAAATAACTAAATAATGAGATTATATCACATGATTCACCCCTGGGGAGGCCACTGTAGACGTTTTCATTGATTTAAGTGGGTAAATAATGAGATATAGGCCCAAACCACACAACGGTCATACACATTCCTAGGGACCTAGTTCAGTGTTATGCAGGTTTGCCGAGGTGTCAGTCCGGACTCGGGACCTCCCACTTGATTCTTGCTTGGCTCAGCTGTTTCTGACCCAGGGACCTGGCCACTCTGCTCATATTATCACACCTCCTAGCTGCAAGACTGTGGTCGGAAGAGTTGGGCCAGTACTTAGCTGTGGATCTCTTCACCTTCCTCTGTGGGTTAATGGATGAAAGTTCTATGATGACACCTAAGGTAGTCATCAATGTGATTGCATGGCAAGTGCCGCTAAGGTGCCCTTTCCACTGTGTCTCAGAGTTTAAACACGGCTCATGCTTGTGCATTCCTGGGAATTTCCTTAGAGCCAGATTTCCGGCTAACCCAAAAAATGGTCTCTCCATCAAAGTCTTCCTTTCCTTGTTCAGTTCCCCTGCGGCCTCCCCCAACTTGACCGACCCAGACCCTCGTGCTCTCCTTCTACCTTCTGCATTGCATGAACAACCTCTTCCTGCACTGTGTCTTCCAAATATACACAGGAGACCTTGTCTGTTTCCATTTTGGGGGTATGGTAGAATCCATGCATTTTCCTAGTAGGGCTCTTCTTGTTTTTTGGACTCTCTGAAGTTGTCAACTGTAGGCTGACTATCCTCTACTTTATGTCGAATATCTACTTATGTGTGAGAACATGGGACACAGAGCTAAACAGAGAATTCTGAACAGTACAGTCTCTAGTGTCCAAAAGGCAAAGGAGGATCTGCTCCATATCCATAGCCTCCAGGGAAATGAAAATCAAACCTCATCTAAGATGTCATCATTTATTGGTCAGAATGGCTAAGATCAAAACCATTAATGACAATTTATGCTGGAGACGATATACTGTAAGGGGATCACTGTTCCTTTGCTGGTTCAAACTTGTAAGCCACTGTGGAAATATGGGTGGCCATTTCTCAAAATGTTGGTTATCAAACTGCAACAAAGCACAGCATAACCACTCTTGTGCATATAACCAATAGGATAAACAATCATACCATATGGACATTCGACCTATCAACTATGCTCACAGAAGTACTTATTTGTAATGGCCAGAAACTGAAACCAAACTAGCTGACCCTCCCCTGAAAACTGGATAAGGAAAATGTGGTGCATTTAAACAATGGGCTACGACTCAGGGCAGAAGATAATGACATTGTGAATTTGCAGTCAAATGGATGGATTTAGAAGACAACAATCCTGAGTGGGGTAACAGCAACACTGAACAACAAGCATTTCACATTTCATATTTTAATGGGTGTTTTCTCTCCTCTGCAAATTTTGAGCTCCCATTCTTACTCTGCTGGACCTTTAAAACGAGAGAGTTTTCTCTTGTATATCAGAATATGTTCAGTAGTTACTGAAGGAAAGGTGTTCTGATGCCTCTTCTTCAAATGTGATCAGTAAAATGCTCCCTAGACCTCTCCAGTTCATGATTCCTGGAGGGACTCACTAAGCCAGGAGGAAAGAGAACTACCTCCACACATTGCTTTCCACCTCAGGTCTACTGAAAATCTGCCCCTGATGCTTCTCCCACCCTCCATACAGGATAAATCAATCAACTGGATATGAGCCCTGAAAAGTTGCTTCATCAGTACAGCCCCTATTAAAGGTGGATAACTAGTACCACCTGAGACTCTTCTCTGTTGCAGGTTACCGTTCCTCAAGAGTGTCAATTGAAAGTAAGCTAGGCTATCACTGCAAGGCCCCTCATTTGTCAGAAAAGTGCTCTAACTTGTGGACCTCATCTTGCTTCTGGAGAGTTGGAACAGCCTCTCCTGTGGAAACTGGGATCCACAGAGGCAGAAAGCATTGGCTCTTATCACAGAGATACTCATGTCAGAAATGACATTGGTGGTGGTTTTAATTTGGGTAGGTGTTTCTCTTGGTGACTTATTGGAGACAAAGCATTCATGGCCCCATAAGATGAGGCTCACTTCTGGAACTACACGAGAGTCCACATCACAGAGAAAATCACTTGCCATGTGGCAGAAACTTACAGAACAAATACACATGTAGAAGAGATAGTTAAGGTGGACAGAGTTAGAGAGACACTGCAGGATTTGCACACACACACAAACACACACACAAAATAACACAAACATACAGAGAGAGATATGAAGAGACAGAGAAAGAGTGAGCAAGAGAGAAATAGAAGGAAAAGAGAGAGAGTGAGAGAGAGAGAGAGAGAGCGAGAGATAGAGAGAGAGAGAGAGTGAGGTACATTATGAGACAGACATAGATTGAGGGAGAGAGTGACAAACATAACCACTAATGGAGAGATGAGATTGTGACAAGGTAACAGACATGAAGACAGTTATCTTCATTCTAAACAAACAAGCACAGCATTGGTGGAGGTAAATAAATAGATTGAATGAGAGATGCTCTGCGTCAGAGCTAGAGAAACAGACAAACAGACAGTCAGGCTGACACACAGACAGAAACACAGGCACACTGTGTGTGACAGTGATGTACACAGCAGAAGAAAGAATCAGAGTGAAACACAGCGAGTGACACGAACAAGAGGAAAAAAGAGACAGACAGACAGACAGACAGACAGACTGACAGACAGAGACTGATAGAGATTCAAGTTGAGGAACGCACAGAGTGAAGCAGAGGAGAAAGTTCCTTCTTAAACTATTAATTGAATGCCTGGAAGTTCTTTCCTCTAGAAAGAGGGCCTCATATCCTGTTTGTGAGCAGTCTCCTACTCAAGATCAATCATGTTGAGAGTGTCAGTCAATGTCAGCTGGGAATTTTCTATCACAAAGCAATAATGTTATGATTTCTTTTTCCCCTTTTAAGAAACAAACTATCTGATTTCCTGACATTGGTGTAACTAGAAGTGTTAGATATAATAATATCAGTATCCCATAATGCAAGCTATAAATATAGCAAAAGAAAACAAATTCTGTCTGCAGAGTGGGTATGATTTGACCGTAGCAGGGCTACAACACACACACACACACACACACACACACACACACACACACACACACACACACACACACACACACACACACACACACACACGGAAATGCTGTCTTCAGTCTTTGGTACTTAAATCATCAGGGAGCTTGGTTGGGATTAACAACTTAATCTGTGATACCAGTTTATTTTGGAAAGAGCTGTCAAAGGAGAACCGAAAGAGTCAGGCAGAGGAGGACAAGTTAGGGGCAGCAAAGGCCCTGCCTTTGAGCCTGACTCCCTGTGAGAATTCATTTTAACAGTGGTGGGGATGGAAGAATTATTTTACCAATATCTCAAAACGGACCCACAGTTCAGGTGGGGAAATTATGGATTCTCAATAAATCAATGGCTTTCTCCTTTTTCAAAATGCATAAAGTCTTTAGCAAAGACTAGACTACAAAAAGACTCTGACAGATGCAATTGTCTTCCTCACCATTGGCATCTACTCCACCAAATCCAGGTGGCAAGGAAGAGTAGTGAGGCTTTGTGTGAAATGGTGCAGCCATGAAGATGCTAACCAAACTCGCACAACCTGAGCAGTACTGGGTGAAATAATACAGGCTTCTTCCAACAGAGACACCACAGAATCCACAAAATGGTTGTCTAATTTTTTATTCATTTTATAGTGTTTGGTTTTACAGAAATGGATACAGCCAGGAGAGACAAGAGGAGGACTTCATTGCTCTGGATCTCCAGTTAGAGAATTTGAGAAGTCTCCCTCATATGCTGACAGCTGAACTCATGGAACTGGTCCTCTGCAGGAGCCCCAACTGCTTTGGCCAACTGAGTCAAAAGTCCAGTCCCCACACACTAGGTCATGGAGAGAGAAACTGTCTTCCTTCCTCTTCCTCGTCTCTTGGAAGCACACATTCATGTTTGCTTTCTGCTTTGGTCTAAATCCGTGATCATATGCTCTGCTCAGTCTCATCCAGACAGGTTCCTCCAAAGAAACCCTGTTGGGATGTGCTTGGGGCCAACAACCTCACTGATTCCCCAGTATCCGACTCAATGTAGTGAAAGCAAACCAGTACAGAATCTGGGTAGAGAATCCCAGAAGGCAGTGCTCTCCCTCCCCAAAACTGTCATTCCACATATTTCCTGGCGTATTAAAGGCCTGAGCCGCCATGCTGTCTTTCCACAGGTTCTCTGAAAATGCTACAGTGTCCTGTAGTCTGCCCAGGTGTCCTTGGAAACAATGCCGGCAGCTGCTTATGGAATACACTTGTTGGTCAGAGCTGACAGGATCCTAAGATTGCTTGAGGCGTTTGGGAGGGGTCTCCAGTAATGAGCAGTGAGCAGAAGCCAGGGAGCTGTATGCTTCAGCCAGCAAGTGGGGATATGAGCCCACCATTGTCTTCCAGCTTGAAGTCTCAGAGACTTCAGAAGCATGAGCTGTTATGAAATCCAGCACCTGGGTTTTCAGCTGCCCTGCACTGTGGAGGTCAGCCATGACGAGAGTGTGGGCAGCAGTCTCCACGGAGAGGTCCTTGCAGAGGGCGTCCTCACACATGACCTTCAAACGCTCCAGGCCGTACTTGTCGGCAGCTGCAAGCAGTACATCTGCCATGCTGTGGAGATCCGGTGCCTTCCCGGTGTAAAGGAAGCCCATCATTGCTCTGAAGCATTGAGGCTCCAGGTCGTGGATCTCAATGCGGTTTGTTCTGCTCTCCTGCATGTCATGTTCAAACATGGCTCTGAAAACTGGAGAGCGAGCTGCTAAGATGGCCTTGTGAGCCCGGAATTCCTGGCCAGCTACCACCAGGCAGCAGTCTGTGAAGAAGGAATTCTCCCACAGCTCTCCTAGCTCATCTGCCAGAGTGCACCTTGGAACCTGGATCCCTGGCATCGTGGTCTCGTCAGAGAAGCCTAAGGAGTCTTGGGCCACAGTCACCTTGCATCTCAGGCTGAGTTCATTGTCTTCGAGCAGCCAAGGCTCCTGGGCCAAGAGGGAATGTCGAGGGATGAACTTTCTGAATCCCCACTGCTGATTTTGCTGGAACCTGAAGAATCTTGGGCTCTTCATGCCTTGTGTTTTCTCTCCTTCGGAATCGATGATCCAAAACTGGAACTTTGCCCACACTGGTCTCCTTGGGCAGCTGAGCAACGTTAGGTAAACTGACAAGTAGCCTTTGCTTTCTTCATCCATCCCGTTCGGGTGTATTTTCAAACTCCATCTGTTTTTGTCCCTGGCTCCTGAGGAGAAGGTTGGGCTTTCAATGGCTTCCCTCATTTCCCGCAGGATAGAACAGAAGTTGCCGATGGTCCAAATGTAGGTGAATTTCTGGAAACTGACTTCTGTGTAGCCCCAGCTCACGGCTGCCAGGTCCCCTGACATATCGGCTTGTGGCAGCTTTGTCAGTTAACCTGGCTCCAAAATGAATAGGTAGGGCGTTTTCTTCTTCAACCTGGAGGTACCAATTACAGATAACTGTAACACAAAAAGATAAAAGACCAGACACTGATATTGGGGCTCAACTTCAATCTGAAGGTCAGGCAAGCAAAGCAGCCAAGCCACTAGATCTTGCCTCTACCTCAGGCTCCACGTGCTCTCCCCAAGCATCACACCGCTACCTCTCCTCAGCCTAACTGGAGATCTTCTTGAGCCTGATTACTGAAAACACCGCTCTTATCGTTTATTCCACTCTATTGCTGGGATCAAGGGCATGAGCTCTGTTACTCTGTTAAGCTGGTTCAATCTAGTGTGGCCCTGGGTAGACTTGAACACACAGATATCCACCTGCTTTTTGTCCCACGAGTCCTCAGGGGAAACGTGTCTGCCTGGCTTCACTGGCTAAGCAGTATGGTTGCTTTGCTCTTTTGATCACCAGTGACTTGTGAAATGGTAAACTATGTATCATCACAGACACATTTTTAGAATTTTGTTTTCTGCTTTCCTCTGTATCCCCAACTCTTTGGGGCTGGAGACTTGGGTCTCTCTGAAATTCTCTATCCAGATTTCAATGTTCGATTCAGAGAAGACAGATTGAGCTTCTTGGGAGAGCTGCAATCTCACCACTACACTGTTTCCTTTCCTAGATTGAATCTTGGGTCAACTGGTAACTACTTTTGACAATTTTACTCAACTCTTGGATGGTTTGGAGCAATTAATGCTCTCATATAGAAAAAAGTTTGTACCAGGGTTCACTGGAGAAACAGAACAGATAGAAAGAAACTCTGACCATATGAAGAAAGGGGATTCCTTAGAATGACTTAGGGCTGTAGGCCTGATAGCCTCACAGTATCTAGCTATGAAGAGAAAGTTCAAGACCTCAGTACTTACTCAGTCCAGAAAGTGGGACCAGTCTGCTGGTCTTCAGTATATTCTGGAAGTCAGGAGAAGTAGTCGCTATTGCCAGTGAAGGGAGGGACTTGCTGCAAGGCAAGGGCCAGCTGGCAAAGAGGAAGACCTTCCTCTCTCCATGCCCCTTTATAGTCTCCCACCAGAGGGTGTGGCCTGTTTACCCATCAAGGTCTGGATTAAGGGTGTGTTTGTCTTCCTGGCCTCCAGATCAGGATTAGATCCATGTGTCGCTGTAACTCCAACGTTCCAGTTGGATTGGATCTACATACCACAACTGAAGCTAGTGCTCTCCATGTTTGGATGTTAGTTTATTCCAGATAAAGTCAGATCAGGGAACAAGAGTAACCATGAGAAGTGTAGTTTGCTTCTTGTGTTACATGAAGATCCTAAATTCTACTCATTCAGTCACAGGGACTGAGTAGATTCTGTCTGTCCATACCTTATATTTTGTTTGTTTGGTAATTTTCTCCAAACTGTGTTCATTTTATCATTTGTAGAAGTTTAAAGTAAAGTTACTGTACATACCGATCCCGGGTCACTATGTATCCCACACCAATGCACACATTCTACCCACCCAATCCCCAATCCACCACTCAGAATAGGTCGTTCCCACATGGGAAATCAACAAATTCTGTGACATCACTGGAAGCAGACCAAAGACCCTCCCCCATGATTGTAGGGTGAGCGAGGTATGTCTCCACAGGGAATGGGTACCCAAGAGCCATTTCATGCAGTAGGGATAAATCCTGGTTCCCCGTGTGGTGGACCCAACAATTGCCCAAACCACACAATGGTCATACCCATTCCTAGGGACCAGTTCAGTGTTATGCAGGTTGCGAGGTGCCATTCCAGTCTCAGGGACCTCCCACTTGATTCTTGCTGGGCTCAGCTGTTTCTGACCCAGGGACCTGGCCACTCTGCTCATATTATCACACCTCCTGCTGCAAGACTGTTGTCTGCCAGTTGGGTCAGTGCTTAGCTGTGGATCTCTTCAACTTCCTTTGTGGATTAATAGATGAAAGTTCTATGATGACACCTAAGGTAGTCATCAACGTGATTGCACGGCAAGTGCCGCTAAGGTGCCCTCTCCACTGTGGCTCAGAGTTTAAGCACGGCTCATGCTTGTGCATTCCTGGGAATTTCCTTAGAGCCAGATTTCCGGCTAACCCAAAAAATGCTCTCTCCATCAAAGTCTCCCTTTCCTTGTTCAGTTCCCCTGCAGCCTCCCTCAACTTGAGCATCCCAGATCCTCGTGCTCTGCTTCTACCTTCTGCATTCTAACAACAACCTCTTCCTTCATGGGTGTTCCAAATATATACAGGAGACCTTGGCTGTTTCCATTTTGGGGGGATGGTAGAATCCATGCATTTTCCTATTAGGGCCCTTCTTGTTTTTTGGACTCTCTGAAGTTGTCAAGTGTAGGCTGACTATCTTCTGCTTTATGTCGAATATCTACTTATGTGTGAGTACATGGGACACAGAGCTAAACAGAGAATACTGAACAGTACAGTCTCTAGTGGCCAAAAGGCAAAGGATGATCTGCTCCTTATCCTTAGCCACCAGGGAAATGAAAATCAAACCTCATCTAAGATGTCTTTTATTGGTCAGAATGGTTAAGATCAAAACCATTAATGACAATTTATGCTGGAGAGGATATACTGTAAGGGGAACACTGTTCCTTTGCTGGTTCAAACTTGTAAGCCACTTGGAAATATGGGTGGCCATTTCTCAAAATGTTGATTATCAAACTACAACATAGCACAGCATAACCACTCTTGGGGATATAACCAAAGGATATACAACCATACCATACGGACATTCGACCTATCAACTATGCTCACAGAAGTATTATTTGTAATGTCCAAAAATGAAACCAACCTAGCTGACCCTCCCCTGAAAACTGGATAAGGAAACTGTGTTACATTTAAACAATGGGGTATGACTCAGGGCAGAATACAAGGACATTGTGAATTTGCAGTCAAATGGATGGATTTAGAAGAAAACAATCCTGAGTGTAAAGAGAAGTGAGCAGAAGCCAGGGAGATGCATGCTTCAGCCAGCAACTGGGGATATGAGCCCACCTGGGTCGCTGTCGTTGTGGTCTCGTCAGAGAAGCCTACGAAGTCTTGGACCACAGTCACCTTGTATGTTAGGCTGAGTTCATTGTCTTTGAGCAGCCAAGTCTTCTGGTACAAGAGGAAATCTCGAAGGATGACCTTTCTGAAACCCCACTGTTGATTTTGTTGGAACCTTTAGAATCTTGGGCTCTTAATGCCTTGTGTTTTCTCTCCTTCAGAATCGATGATCCAAAACTGGAACTTTGCCCACACTGGTCTCCTTGGGCAGCTGAGCAACGTTAGGTAAACTGACAAGTAGCCTTCGCTTTCTTCATCCATCCCGTTCGGGTGTATTTTCAAACTCCATCTGTTTTTGTCCCTGGCTCCTAAGGAGAAGGTTGGGCTTTCAATGGCTTCCCTCATTTCCCATAGGATAGACCAGAAGTTGCTGATGGTCCAACTGTAGGTGAATTTCTGGAAACTGACTTCTGTGAAGCCCCTGCTCTCAGCTGCCAGGACCCCTGAAATATCTGCTTGTGGCAGTTTGACAGGTAACCTGGCTCCAAAATGAATAACTTCCCACCCTCCCTTCTTTCCTCCCTCCCTCCCACTCACATCCAGCCTTCTGCACCAGTCCCATGTGGTCTTGTAACTGGATGGTCAGTGACACTCTGTGACCTTAGCCTCCCTCCTAGAGAGTGATTCGCCTGTGCTTCACAGCTTCCTGTCTTACCTTCGCTACTTAACTGAAACCAAAAACAAAACTTTCAAAAGTCCAGATGTCCTCTGAGCAGAACGGAATGGTTGTGGAGAACAGAAAAGCTTTATTTTAGGTGTTCCCTAAAGACCACACTTTTTTTAGGTGTTCCCTAAATACCCGGGGACACTCTGAGGGCGTGGATAAGAGTCAGATTTTGCTGGGCACCTTTTTGTCTCCTGGCAAATTGCTTCAGGTGTTTCTCGACTTATGGTGATATTGGCTTTAAGAGTCTCATCTTTAATGAAGCTATAAGATTCTAGCTTTTATTTTATTTGATAGGCACATGTTCACTCTAGTCCTCTTGGCTGTACAACTTTGATCATGAAGGCATGCCGGATATTTTTTTGTTGCTATGTTTTTGATTTTTTTTCAAGACAGATTTTTCACTGCGTAACAACCAACCCAGGGTGTCCTGGAACTCACTGTGTAGAGCAGGCTGGCCTCAAACCCACTGAGATCTGCCTATTTCTGTTTTCCAAGTCCTGGGATTTAAGATGATGGATTTTTTAAAATTCTTGTTTGTTTTCTGGTTTTCCAGACACATTTTCTTTGTGTAACAATCCTGGCTGGAGCTAGCTCACTTTTTTGGCTGGCCTCAAACTCACTGACATCTGCCTACTTCTGCCTCCCAAGTGCTGAGATGAAGAAAGATGTTGGATTTTTCTATGCTTGTTTGTTTTTTGTTTTTCCATGTTTTTCTCTGTGTAAAAACAACTTGCCTAGGTGTCCTGGCCTGGAGCTCACCTTGTGGACCAGGCGATCGTGTTTTTTTTAATATTTCCTTTTCAATTTTTAGTATTTGCCTGGCACTTATTATTTCGGTGTGTGTGTGTGTGTGTGTGTGTGTGTGTGTGTGTATGTGTGTGTATGTTGGAGTTTCACCTGCCTACTGGCCTGCCTGATTAAAATCAGGCTCACTGCTCCAGTGTGGAAGATTTCATATTTAGAGTTAGATTT